AGATAGATAGATAGATAGATAGATAGATAGATAGATAGATAGATACAAACAAACATGACGCATTGTAGGAACTTTATTTAGGTTCTTCAATTCAATTTGATTTCCCTGGGGCCCATAGGTACCATAAATGTGTTATTTGCAAAGCGTACTCTAGGTGCTGTGATGGTTTCAGACATCTTTGGTTACATTCTGTATTTATGATTTTTATTATGAGCTGCAGGGATTTCTGAGCTGAGCTCCTGGAGGCTGCTGTCCGAGGTGCTGAAATGAAAAAAGTGAAAGTTACCAGAGGCCAAAATAAGAAATTTCTGATGCGGACCTTGAAACAATCTCACTAATTAAGGAACAAGCTTAAACAAAGCAGGACAAAAACTGCACTACAGCTTTGTGAAAAGGACTGGAGGTCAGGGAAGTGTAGTTTACTTGCTGCCACTTGTAAGCTCCTCCATTAAAGCTGCCAAGCTGACAGAAAAACGATGTCCTATTGGCTTCACTCATCAAGGTTTAGTTGACTTAGGTACTTAATTTGTGGGTGCCCTTATTGTCAAGGCATGAACAATCTTATAGTGATCACAGAGCAAAGAAACCTTGTTGCATTTCAAACTGCCAATAATAAACGCCTCAATGTCTCAATCTTCCTTCAAAATGATGTATTTACTAATCAATCTTAATGGACCTATAGGGAGCAGCCCTGTCACTAAGCCTTGTTAAAAAACTCCAATATGCTAACTTGTGACCTTTAACCTATAATGACTTGACACAGCTGGAGTGACAGTGGTCTGAAAGGGCAGCACCAGTGAAACTGCTCTTGGCGAATACCACATACACTTAATGTCCCCTGTGCTTCCCTGAACCAGGCCTTTATAAAATCTACAATATCTGTTCAAACCAGCTCCCAAATGTGTGAGGCAGTATTTTTGTTTAAATAATAGAAACATTTTCCTTCCAATGGTATCTCATAATATAGATTAGATAAAAACTATTGGACTTTTTCTGGCCTCAGAGCCTCTGAGATCTTTTTGTCTTTGTCTCCGCTGAGGAGATTGACATCATTCCAAAAAAACATGATACTTTTATTCAGTCTACTCCTTTAGTAAGCCAAAAATGGATTTGATCACCTGGTTGGCAGCCTGGTTCAACCTGCACAACAGTGTTAGGCTTACAGGGAAATTTAAGGGTTTGAAGTAATACAATACAATCTGTATTAAGTTGAAACTTCCTTACAAAGTCAGAAGAAACAAGGACAATACCCTGAGGTTCGGACATGTGTACTTGACCTCACTTCTAAAAAGAGATGTTCTGGGTTTGGGGAGAAATGTAATGGAATGTCCTAAGTATACTGCCAATCTCTCTCTCTCTCTCTTTCTCAATTTGTGTTTTTGTGGGGTCATAGGATACATGCACGGAGAATAAAATGAGAGAAAGAAATCATGATAGTTGACTAAAACTATCTCAACTGCTCAACGAAGAAAAGAACAAATAAAGAGAGTGTCTTAAAAAATGTTCAGCAACTCTCTTTCAGTCATTCCCTCCTCTGATGTCTTTAACAGACGTTACCACTCTTTACTTTTACCTTCACATGCTTTACATCACAGTCAGACGTGCACACACAGTCTCAGACAACATATCAACAAGTGGAAGGAACAAATCTTAAAAGGGAGGAAAGAGGCCGTGGGCTAATTGTGAGGGATGACTGTGTTTGCCGTACATGAACATCTGCTTCCTCCAGATTAAATTAAATGAGCCTCGGATGACTGGACTCATCTGAGAGGTCTCCCATCATCATGGGAAATGTGTGGCAACACCAAACCTGACACATGGAGCGCCACCCTCACACACTTAGGCAGGATTATTGTTGATGCAGTTTACGTATTGTGAGGATATTAGATCGACATCCTTCAGGCCTTAACTTTAATCATAAATGCAGCATGTCTGATGCACTAAGCCTAAAGTGAAATGCTAATCTTCGTCTCAGAGGATTTTTTGAAAATTACAACTGGAGGGCACCAATAGTTATTCTAAGATAATTTTTGATGGGGGGTTACGCACTGTTTCAATTATTGTAGTTTACCTATTGTAGCTTTCCTGCCATTCAGGGTGCACATGAAAGTGTGATACATGCATGTTTCAGAACTGGCTTCACTGGCCACTGAGACTGTCAACCCTGACTTTCACAATGAGCTAACGTTAGCTTCAATGAATCTAACCTCACAATAGGGCATTTGTTGCCATGTCGTCAAACCTGCGTGAGTTGGGGAAAACTGTTGTCCCCACATATTTATCTTGCAACCTGATTATTTGAATGGTATAGGCTGTTTTCTTCAGACTGACGACAATGATTTCACAAATGTACTGAACTTCGCAGTTCCTCCATATACAGGTGCATGTGTGAATGCAAATGTCCATGTGAGATGCTCCGCAGTTTCGGCAGACTTCATCCTCCTGACCACCTGAGTATAACATCCGTAAAATTCCAAGAGAAGTTAATGTGTAGAACCACGACGAGCAGTGAAAAATCAGTGACACACACATGAAAGACATGGACATAGATGTCTGGAGTGTATGTGTTAATAAGTAGCTAAAAGTGGTGGTTGTGTGAAAATCACGTGATCTCCGCAGCAGAGTTAATACGTCACTTCCTGCCTCTGTCTGCTACACTCCGAAACAAATTCTTCGGATTTTACCCGCAGGTTATGTCTGAAAACAGCTTTAGTCTACCCAGTAAGAAACAGGGAATTGAAGCGATGGCAGGAGAAGAGATTAAACTACAGGAGGTCAAGATACTAGAGGGAGAGCAGATGGAGCAGCAGCATCAGTAGCTTCAGGAAAGAGGAGGAGGAATGATGCTGAGCGAAGACTGAATGCAACAGTGACTTATTAAAATATTATTACAAGATGGGATGTGCTGGAGCTAGTTGGCTAGCATGCTAACTTCTACACAATACAGAGAAGTCAAAACAGTTTTTCCTTCACTTTCTGTTCATTATCTTTGTTAATCTTTGAATTAAAATACATATTGTCCTTTAACAGAGGCAACATAGACAGGAAAGTGAATTGAGGTTCAATAGGGAAAGGCAGTATTTACAATTACACCCTTGTCATTGGTATATGTTTTGTTATTCATATAATATCTGAGTATGTCTGTGACTCATGACAATGTTCAGCCTGTTTTTCTATTGAGGCCACACCGAAGCTGTCTTGTAATAAAAGGGCCAGCCAGTCCTGTGGGAAGTAGCTTGGGGACAGCCAAAGGGCCTTCTAATGTGGTTTCCACTCTCCATGTTAAATATAGGACCACCCCAACTCCCTTATTAACCTACAGAATTAGGCTACCTTGTGCAGTGCACTTGAATGCCTCAAACTGGAATGTAGCTGACTGAGAGGCATTGAAACCTGTCCAGAGAGTGAGGGGGAAATGGGTCATTTTGCAGGATGAACAGCTCAGCTGGCTGAGGTCATGGACATCTGGTTGTACTTGAGAAAATAGGCTGGTTTGGATCTTTGTGCGAGGGATGCACAGCGGCCTCCATTCACACAGTTCCTGGAAAAAGGGTGACGTGAATATCTTTAAGCGAAAACTTAGAATTGGGATGATGTATCAGGCAACCTGTCCCAGCGCCTAAAGGTCAGCCTTTGTTGTGGTTGCACACTGTGACCTCACAAGTAGATTACGTGAGCATTAGTTTCTCTCAAAAAATGCACTGTTTGGACCATCTTCTC